TTTTTAACTTCAGATTAATAAATTAAAATAAATTATTTTATTATTTAATTATTTTAAAAAATAAAATTTCATATTTTAATGATTAATTTTATTTTTTTTTAAAAAAAAAGTAAAAATTATAATAGAAAAATATTAAAGTTATGTATAAATTTATATAAGATTGCATAAATTTATAAGTTTTATATAAGATTTATCTAACAATATAAATAAAATTAGATATTAATATTATAATTAATTATATATGTATATTTTTTAAATTATATTTATTTATATTATTTATAATAAATTTAATTAAAATTTTTAGCATTTATTTATTAATTATATAACTAATTTAATAATTATTTAAATAATTTAAATAATTATTTTATATATTATTATAATATTATTAATCTTTAATTATTATATTAAATATTATTATTTTTTTATAATTTAAAAAATAGCTCTATATTATATTAGAAAATTTTTATAAAAGTAATCTTTTTTAAATCTATATATGTAAACTTATGCAAATTTGTATAAATTATTAAGGTTAAAAAATATAAATTTAGAATAAAAAAAAATGAATAAAAGATTTATTATTAAAGGAAATTTAATTGTATATTATATTTAATATAAAGATATATAATTTTATTATGTAAAATATAAATAATCTTATTTGACAAAGTATATGTAAGAATATATATTAGTTTAAAAAGTTAAAGAAAAATTACTAATTATTTTTAATGCAATATTCAATATAAAAAATTATCTAATAATATATGTAATATATACAGTAATTGGTAAACAGATTTATTTTAAATACCATTCAGTATTTTTTTTTTTTATGAAATTTTTAAAAAATTATATATTTTTAGCATTTCAGGTTCTTTGTTATTAAATCAATATAAGTAATCTCGATGGAAAAATATCAAATTATATAATTTTTTTTTAACTCGGATAGGATTTACTATTTATTTAATATTATAATTATTCTTTTTTAATTAATTTATTGTTCATGTGGTTTATTTCCGGTTTTAACAATCTCTAATCCTTCAAATAAATCTCTTTCAAATTTTTCAGTATCCATTTGACCTTTAACATCAAACCAATTTCCAAAAGATTTAGAAAGTGTATATTTGGCATTTCGAATTTTAATAGAAGAATTTTGTTTTTCATTCCCAATATATTCATAAATAATGTTATAAATATCAGAATATCTTTTTGTATTTGTTTGAATTGTGATTGTATGTTTTTTGTCATTCTCTTCGAATTCTCCTACAAAAATAGTTTCCTTTTCAAATATAAAGGAGTATAAAACAAGTAATGAGTTCAATAAAAAATATCTAAAATTTTCAAAATATAAAATTAAGGAAATATAATGATTGAATTTCAAACGTGAATTAAGATCAAATAAAGGATACGCAATGATACATATGAGTGTCACTTCTTTTGCCTCATTGAATGGTATCTTGTGCCCATAATATCCACCAGACAAGGCGAAACCACATGCCAAATATCCTAACACCAACTTAACATCAGTATGGGTATTATTTTGACGAAAATTAGCTTTACTTACGAAAAGCTATTTGTGTTGAAAGTAAATTTGATAATATTTTAGCAAAGATGACAAGATTTTATTTACTTCGCTTCTTAAATATATATAAAAAAAAAAAAAACCTTTTGAATATAATCGTCACAAGCATTTTTCAATTCTACCAAATTCGAATTATTGACAATGATTGGTTCCTCTTTTTCCAAAGAGGCTTCTTCTGTTTGAAGGGATTTTTCTGGTATTATGAGAACAAGTCATTAAAAAAAGTTTTGAAGAGAGCAAATTTATTAAATTGATATCTAAAAGTACCGGTTAAAGAACTTAATGGTTTAGCTTCAATTTCTTCCATTATTTATCGTTAAAAATGACAAAAACGAATTTTCATCCAATTTTATAATTTTCTGATTTCTGGGCCATTTACGTGCTGTACATTCATTGGACATTTATGTAGTCACAAAAACCCCACCCCAAATTAACCCCAAATGCAGATCAAAAAAGGACTTTTTTGTTATTTTATTTTATTTAAATAAAAATCACGTGCTATATAAATACTATTTTTCTGATAATTTTTTAGATTTATGTGCTGCATCAACTAATTTTTTTAAAACATCCCTCACGTATTTCAATCGATTCATCTCCACAGAATTATTCAATTTCAAAAACTCTGTGATAGCACACGTCTTTAACTCATTTGTCTCGTCAATATATGTTATAACATATCCTTCTTCTGATATCACGATTTTCACGTGATCAAAAAAATTGACCTAACAAGGTTCATAAGTCAATAAAAATCTCTATGGAATTAAAATAATAAAATAAATATCAAAGTCACTCTGTACCTGTACAACACGATTGCTTAATCGAAACATCATCGCATGTGGCGTTCTTTTGAATTTTGTAAGAAATTCCATATTTTGAATTCGATCTTTATCATCAAAAGCATATGAATGTGCCCTTTTCGAAAGAGTTTCGTTCATATAATTACGAAAGTTTTTCAATAAATACATTTTCTTTTGCAGATCTTTAGGGCAACTAGCTACTAAATAGGATTTGCGTGTTGGAATTATTGTGGAAGAGATGCGACTGTTGTAAATGTATTCGAAATTACTATGCGGAAAAAATGAACCTTGGTCAAATATAGTCACATAATCTGTCTGGAAAGAAAAAGTACGTTATAGAATAATAAAGGCTAACCTTCCGTTGGGAGACATGATCAAGGTTGTCTTGTCGTTAAAATTTACACCTACGGAACCATCAGTCAATTGGTATCCCATTCCATATTTATTTGAATAATCAATCCATTTATTTACAAACACACGAGGTGTAAGGGTTTCTTAATAAAGAATAGATTTAATTAAATTTTGAATAAATGAAGAATAACAAATTATAGTACTCATTACATACTATCACCAGTAGTATTGCATATTATATTTTTGTCATTTTCAAGTGTTCTAAATGATATTTCAAGGGTATTTAAGATTGCTTCAAGGACACCAGTTCGTATTTTACCTGTAAAAACAAGATTAATTAATTTAATAATAACTTTTTAGAGCTTATATTTAAAAATAAATAAATAAATAAATACTCACTAGATGAACCAACAGAATCAAGCTTAGATTTTTTTTCGTTATCTATTTTATTTTCATCATCAGATTTTTTTTCATGGTCCTTTTTATTTTTACCTTCAGACCTTTTTTCGTTACCAATTTGATTTTTATCTTCTGATCTTTTTTCGTTATCAATTTGATTTTTACCTTCAGATCTTTTTTCGTTGTCTATTTTATTTTTACCTTCAGATCTTTTTTCGTTGTCTATTTTATTTTTATCTTCAGACTTTTTTTCGGTATCCTTTTTATGTCTATCTTCAGGTTTTTTGTCATTATTCCTTTTATATTTATCTTCAGATTTTTTTTCGGTATCCTTTTTACTTTTATTTTCAGAATGAGCAATTAGTTTCTTATTTAAATTATTGGTAAGTAGGACTTTCAATGGCTGTCTTAATTTAGGAACATCAAAACAAGGTGTAATAGTTAATGCAGTCATTGGTATCGTTGTGGGTGTCACTCCTAAATTAAAAAACTCATGATCCAGGATTTGGCGAATAGTAGGTCGTTTCTCTAGAAAGAGAGACGTGTAAAGAAATAAAAAATTTTTTTAATTAAATGACAAAAAAAAAGATTCCTAAAAGAAAATATAAATCACCTGGATCCAAAGTTAACATCAAATTAATCAAATTCTTTGCTTCAATAGATACATCAGTAATATTTGATGGGAAATCGTATCTTAACTCCCTAATTCTCCTATATAATGAATTGATATTATTAAATAAGAGATTTAAAAAAATTAAAAGTAATAAAATAAAATAAAATAAGTCCAACCTGTAGATTTGATTGACTTCTCCACCCTTCTGAAAAGGAGGTTTTCCGAATAACAGGGTATACCTATTTTGTATAAAAGAAGAGATAATTAACTTCATAAACGTGATCTATGGTATACATTAACATGCAATCGAACAAATATAATGTTTAAAGAAGGATAATCAAGTAAAATTTTATATGATCAGATTCCAATCAGCTGTTGACATAACGTTAATTTGTTTGTCAAAACAAACTTACATGATAACACCCAATGACCACACGTCAGCTTCAAAACTATGACCGTTCAACTGATCAAATAAGACTTCGGGCGCGATATAATTCGGCGTACCACATATGGTTCTAAAGTGTGAAATTGAATGAGGATACTATAATAATAAAAAAAGAAAAAGAAATTAACCAAACTTACTTTTTTCTTTCACCTTCACGTTCCAACTGTGCCGCTAAACCAAAATCCCCGATTTTGATCTTCATATCCTTTGAGAGAAACAGATTTGCCAATTTTAAATCACGATGAATCACAAATTGACGTTGCATATACTCGCAAGCATCAAGGAGCTGAAGCATAAAATATCGAACTTCAGGCTCGGTCAGCCGTTGTCTTTTTTTATTCATCGAAGCTAAAGTCTTATGTATAGATGTTCAAGTTAATAAAATTAACTCATTAAAAATATCATTAGATTTTGGTACAAACCTTATTTTCACAAAGCTCCATTAATAAATATACGAATGATTGATCTTCAAAACAATCATAAAATTTGACAATATGGGGATGATCCAATTTTTTATGTATAGCAATTTCGCTAAGAAGCTAAATATCAATTCAAATTGAAACACAGCACCTCGTGTTAGCTTATTTCTAACAAGTGCAAGTAAATTCTATTAAAAGATTGATAGCTTACTTTATCTTTGTTCTTTGGATTTCTTAATGAGGTTTTGTCTACAACTTTGACAGCGAGTAACTTGCCCTCTATCGTCTCGACCTCAAAACACCTTCCAAAGCCGCCCTGTAAAATAATTGAATTATTTAAAAACGTATTTAATATGTCAACATGAAGATACATACTTATAGAAGGAATAAAGAGTATATGTTCTTTACAGACCTCTCCAAGTAACCCGCGTCGTTTGTATTCATGGCCAGGATGTTTTGGAGGTTTAATGGTTAGAGGTGGTTCTTTCGTGATACGGTTGTTTCGAGACAGGTTTTTTTTTCCTCTGTCCATAATAATAATTATTAATATTATGAAAGGTTTACAGGAGAATATTTGAAAATGGTTCGGTAACAAATCAAACAAATCAAGATAGAGTTCACGACTAGTAAACAAATAATTTTCATCTTGATATTATATGAACATTTCTAAATTTGGTGATCGTCGTTACACAATTCTATATTATAGAATAGATAAAATATAAAATAGGATATTAGATTTACCGGAAAAATTGCCGAGTGTGTAAAGTTCAAATTATCGTCAAATGTTTATAATCCTTAAAAAATTGAACTTTTTTAAATTTCATATTTCAAATTTTTTCATGATACTTTATTCTTAAAAAGAAGTTTATAAAAATTACTTTCCAGTATATAAAGTATCAATCATATTATCAGCATGTGATTTTCCTTAGTATTAATTCACTTTTTTTAACAATATTCACATCAAAAAAAAATGATGAGTTTGTATGTATATTAGCATTTGTTGATCCGTTAATATTATTTAAACTGCGATTTTTTAAAGGAATTAGACCAGCAAGTGTATAATCTTCCGATCCAATGCCGTAACTGTGCGCCATTTCCCGACTTTATAGATTGCAAATGATCTTAAAGACCTCTCATAAATTATCCTAGTTTACGTGTCGCCATTTCTTCAAAAATGGTGTTGGACTTTTCAGGGGACCTTTATTTGTTGTCGAAGTTGCATTTGATATAAGATATTCAAACTTCGGTAAATGACAGGTAATAGTATATAATGCGTAAGTTCAATACTTTTGATTGGTTGATCGACATTTTATTAATTAATAATAAATTGGACCAGCTGAATCATTGATTACGATTTTCATAATTCGGAAAAATTACGTCTGATGATATAATTTTTTTCTAACCGAATTTTGAGTAAATGATGATCAAAAAAATGCTATACTACAGTAAACATTTCCTATTTTAAATATAGAGTCGAATTAATTAATAAATTGATACTAAAATTTATTATTTAATTAAATTATTATTTTGTAATATTTAAAAAATTTTGCTATTATAAAATACATAAAACTTTATTATTAAAATTATCCTATAAAACATTATTACACTAATTTTTACAATACTTGAAATCAATTTTGTAAATACTTGAGATGTTGCTATTAAAATCACTTACAGAGTATTGTTATACTAATTTTATTAGAAAAAAGTTAAAACTTTTTAACTTTTTAAATAATAATGTTATATTTATTTTCAAATTTTGTGTTAATTATTTTTAAAATATAATTTTAGATTTTTACTGATATTACAAAAAAAAATAAGAAATTTTAATGATCTAATTGCTTGTTTTATTAATAAAATAATTAATTATAAAAAAATTTAATTAAATTAAAGTTCAAAATAGTTCAATTTAATCTGAAGATTTTAGTTTATATTGGTTTTAGTTTAGTTTTAAATTACATAAAAAAAATTCAAAATTTCAGTTAATTTATTTCAATTGAATAATAAAAATATCATTCAAATAAAATAATCAAAATAGCCGTTTATGACTAAATAATATAATTATATTATTTAGTCATAAACGGCTTAGAATAGGTTATTTAGTAATAAAAT